TCTCTACTGAAAATACAAAAAATTAGCCCGGTGTGGTGGCGCATGCCTGTAATCACAGCTACTTGGGAAGCTGAGGCAGGAGAATTACTTGAACCTGGGAGGTGGAGGTTGCAGTGAGCCGAGATCATGCCACTGCACCCTAGCCTGGGTGGCAGAGCGAGACCCCATCTCAAAAACAAACAAACACCAAAAAGAAATGTTCTGACCTATCTTGCTTGAGTGGAGGTCATAAGACCCCCATTCCAGAGAGGGTTTTGCTCCTTTACCCAGAAGGAAGGAGGCTGCACAGAGGCCAGGAAGAACCTGAACACCAGACAGGCCCTGCCGGGTTTTCGCAGTCAGTTCTTTTTAAAAGATGAAACACAAAGTCACATTTATTAGAGTTGTCCACAGTCAGCAATGGTGACCTTCTTGCTGGTCTTGCCATTTCGGGACCCTCATACCTTCTTTCACCTTGCCAAAGACCACAGGCTCGCCATGCAACCACTGAGTCTCGGCAGTGCAGATGCAAAACTGGGAACCGTATGTGTTGGGTCCAGCATTTGCCTTGGACAACATGCCGGGTCCTGTATGCTTCAGGCTACAGTTTTCATCATCAAATTTCTCCCTGTAGATGGACTTGCCACCAGTGCCATTATGGCGTATGAAGCCAGCACCCTAACACATAAACCCTGAAATAATTCTGTGAAAGCAGGAACCCTTGTGACAAAATCCTTCCCTCCAGTGCTCAGAGCAGGAGACTGTTCTGCTGTCTTTGGAATCTTGTCTGCAAACAGCCTGAAGGGCTGTTTGATGGCCCCAGGGCTTACCATTGATGGCCATGTTGAAGAACATGGTGGGATTCACCATGGCTGATAGCAGGGGGTTCCTAGGGGGGCGTCAGCATCTGCAAAGCCCTCAGTGAGTTCTGCTAGCGTAAGAGCACACCCATTTTGTCCAATCGTATTTCTACACAACTGTCCATACTTTGTTGAACCTAAGCATAAAAATGGACAGTTTTCCCTGTATCTCTGAGTCCTCACGAGTCACGTGAAACTGTGATCAAATAAATTTGTGTATCTTTTCTCCTATTAATCTGCCTTTTGTCAGTGATTTTCAGCAAACCATCAGAGGGCTAAGGGGAAGCTTTCCTGTGGCCCCTACAATAATAAACTACAAATAGGGCAAAAATGGAAGTGTTATCCAGGAGTTTTCATAGCATTTTTCTTTTTAAAGAGTCTGCTCTGCAACTGGTTTGTGCTACTTTCAGCAAATTCCACTTAAAAGAAAAATCAGCGGGCCAGGCGCGGTGGCTCATGCCTGTAATCCCAGCACTTTGGGAGGCTGAGGTGGGCGAATCACAAGGCCAGGAGATCGAGACCCTCCTGGCTAACACGGTGAAACTGTCTCTACTAAAAATACACAAAATTAGCTGGGCGTGGTGGCACGTACCTGTAGTCCCAGCTACTCGGGAGGCTTAGGCAGGAGAATGGCGTGAACCTGGGAGGCGGAGCTTGCAGTGAGCCATGATCGCACCACTGCACTCCAGCCTGGGCAACAGAGTGAGACTCCATCTCAAAAATCAATCAATCAATCAATCAATAATAATAATAAAAAAGAAAAATCAGCATTTATAAAACAGCCACATTTGAGAGACGATTACTGCTTTTTTTAAAAAAGGATTCACTATAGCACATTTCCCCTATGCAATACAATTTCATTATTTTTTAAATTTCAAAAGCAGTCCATGCTATTGGAAAACATGCAAATGACACAAAGAATTGTGTAAGCCAAAGTGAAGGGCCTCCCTTTAGCTCTCCTCTGTTTCCGCTCTCTGGAGGCAAGCTCTGAAAATAATTTGGGGAGCATCCTTCTGGAGACCCTTTTATATGCGCCACTCACTGATATAGTTATATGTTTTATTTACATTCAATTCTACTTAAAAATGATAATCACAAGCTGGGCGTGGTGGCTCACGCCTGTAATCCCAGCACTTTGGGAAGCCGAGGTGGGCAGATCACCTGAGATCAGGAGTTCGAGACCAGCCTGACCAACATGGAGAAACCTCATCTTTACTAAAAATACAAAATTAGCCGGGCGTGGTGGCACATCCCTGTAATCCCAGCTACTCGGGAGGCTGAGGGAGGAGAATTGCTTGAACCTGGGAGGCGGAGGTTGCGGTGAGCCGAGATCACGCCATTGCACTCCAGCCTGGGCAATAGGAGCAAAACTCCATCTCAAAAAAAGAAAAGGAAAGAAAAAAAATGATGACCAGAATGTGTATCTTGTTTTATGACATGGTATCTTTTTCTTTTTTTTGACATGGTGTCTTTTTCCCTCCCATTGCATTCTTTTCATAGTAAACTTTAAAATCTTATTTACATTGTTTTTAACTAAACTTTTATTTTAAAAGAACTGTAGATTCACATGCAGTTGTAAGAAATAATACAGATCCTGTGTACACTTTCTTACAATGACAACACCTTGCAAAACTGTAATATTACAACCAGGATGTTGATATTTTAAACAATCCACTGATCTTTTTCAGATTTTCCCAGTTTTACTTGTACTCGTGCGCGCGTGCGTGTGTGTGTGTTTAGTTTGTTTTTGTTTTTGAGACAGGGTCTCGCTCTGTCGCCCAGGTTAGTGGGCAGTAGCAGTGGCAGGATCATGGCTCACTGCAACCTCCAACTCCCAGGCTCAAGTGATCTTCTCACCTCAGCTTCTTACCTAGCTGGGACCACAAGTGTGAGCCACCATGCCTGGCTCATTTTTTTTTTTTTTTTTTTTTGTAGAGACTGAGTTGTCCTGTGTTGCCCTGCTGGTCTCCAACTCCTCAGCTGAAGTGATCTTCCTGCCTGGGGTTTCCAAAGTGTAGGGATTACAGGTGTGAGTCAGAGCGCCCAGCCAAGTTCTAACAATTTTATCATGTTTAGTTTGTGTTCCTACCACCACAGGCAAGATACAAAATGGTTCCTCATCATTCTCCCGTTGCATTTTAAATAACATAATTTACTGTGTTCAATACCATGTATTTCTCCAGGTGAGGTATACATGTGACAGGCTCCAAAAGGCCTCTTTTAATCACCACAGTAGTGCTGCCCAAGAAAACTCAAGGGCCACGAATGAAAGTTGCCTATGAAATTAGACATTTCTCAGGAGCCAAAGGTAAAAGAGGCCAATTTAAATAATATATTTCAGAAAACCCAATATATCCAAATATCCTCATTTCAACATGTAATCAATATAAAAAGTATGAATGATATGCTACTTTTCTTATACGAAGTCTTTGCAATCCAGTGAGCCCAGTCCTCTGGCAGCTGTTAGCACAGACTGAGCGCCTCCTATGTGTCTGACTCTGATCCAGGCACTGAGACACAGACCAGGTCTTGCCCTTTGAGAACACAGGCCAATGGAGGGGACAAACACAGTTCTAGAACATGAGACAGGCCATGGTAGAAGCAAGCACAGGGGGCCTGGGAACACCTGGCTAGTAGGGAAGGCTTTGTGGGGGCTTGGCCTCAAAGCCCAGGGACAGCAGGGGGACCAGTCAGAGGGAGTCCCAGTGTCTGGGTAGGAGCGATGGTGTTCCCTGAGATGGGAACCAAGAGGAGAGGCACTTTGGAGGGAAGGCCCAGTGTGGTTTGGGGATATCCAATAAAAGATGGCCCCTCCTCAAAGTTAATGGATGCTGGGCTCTGGGGTGCAGGGGAGGGTTCTGGGCTGGCTGTTGAGGTTTCCCTGGAGGTTGATGTCACTGGGGGAGTGGAGATTACTCAGGCCAGAAAGTGTGTGGGAAGCATGGCGATACAGAGTACGCCACATGGAGAGCCCAAATCAGGGGGATTCCCAAGGGAGAAAGACAAGCCAGGGACCACTTGAGGAGGCCAGGGAGGAGGAATGCAGGGATCTTGGACCCATGCCCCCAACCCAGTGGACCCACCCAGCAGAATCCATTGTTCTGAGGTTACAATGGGTGATGGCTTGGTGGGGCTGCAATGAGTGGTGGCAGGCGCGGAGGCCAGGGGAGGAGGGACATGCTGTGGGCTCCAGGTTCAGGTCTGAATTCAGGACTGAGTTGGAAGCACCGGGTCTGTGAAGTTCAAGATCTACCACTTCTGTTCCCAAACCTCCCAGTTCTTCCTCACCTTTATGCAATTTCATTTTTGATAATTTCAGCTTCCTAAATGTACACATCTGATTTCACTTTCACTCACGTCTCACCCCCACTCCTCCACCGGCCCCTTCTCACTATTGCAGACCCAGGAGACACAGGAAGTGCAAGGAAGGTCTGGAGCCCCAAAAGCCAGGAGCCTAAGGAGTCAAGTGCCCTGACAGCCAGGAACCCTGACAGCCAGGAGCCCCCACACCCAGGAACCCCAACAGCCAGAAGCCTCTACCACCAGGAGTACTGACAGCAAGGAACCCTGACACCCAGGAGCCCCTACTATAGCCAGAAAGCCAGGAACTCTAACACCCAGGAGCCCCTACAGCCAGGAACCCCGACATCCAGGGGTCCCGACAGCCAGAAGCCACTATAGCCAGGAGCGCCTACAGCCAGGAGCCCCTACAGCCAGGAACCCCGACATCCAGGGGTCCCGACAGCCAGGAGCCATTACAGCCAGGAACCCCTACAGCCAGGGGCCTGGACGGCCAGAAGCCACTATAGCCAGAAGCCCTTATAGGGCCAGGAGCGCCTACAGCCAGGAGCCACTACAGCCAGGGAGCCCCGACAACCCTGACAGCCAGGAACCATGACAGCCATGAACTCCGGAAGCCAGGAGGTCCGCAGCGGAGTGCCCAGACCTGGCAGGGTCAGAGCCCCTCAGCGGGATCCAGAGCCACCCAGCGGGATCCAGAGCCACCCAGCGGGATTCAGCGCCCGCGGCCGAGGCCCTTTCTGGGATTTCTCAGGCTCTGTAGCGTCAGCGCAGGCAGGGGCGGGGCTTTCCCTCGCGCAGCCGCTAAGCTCTCCGCGGCCCCGCCTACATCCGGCCGCCGGCACGCGATTGCTTCTGTCTGGCGGCGGCAGCATGGCGGCGGGGGCGGCTGAGGCAGCTGTAGCGGCGCTGGAGGAGGTCGGCTCAGCCGGGCAGTTTGAGGAGCTGCTGCGCCTCAAAGCCAAGTAAGCGAGGCGGCGAGCGGCAGGAGTGAGGAGCCGGCGGGAGAGGCCGCGAGACCGGGCCGGGAGTGGCCGCGAGACCGGGCCGCTGTGGGGCGGCGGGTGGCCCAGCCCGGCTCCTTGGCGCCCGGCTCGCTTCGGCCTCGGGGGACCGGGCCCGGCCCAACCGGGGATTCCCCCGAGCCTCCGGCGCTGACTGGCCCGAACCGCGGGCTCCCCGCCCCGGAACAGCGAGCAGGGCTCGAGGCTTTTCTCGCAGCCCCGGCCCCGGCCCTCGCTCCGACCCCGACGGCTGTCCAAGCCCGGGGGACGCGACCTTCCCGTCCTCTGGCCTGGGCGGCCCCGCAGCGGGACGGAGGCGGTGACTCAGCCTTGCCGCAGCGGCGGGGCGGGGGACGGGGCGGTGCCGAGACCCCGGCCCACCGCGCCACGGAGCGGGGACCCATGGCTGCGGGCTCCACCTTTCCTGTGCCCGCCGGGAGGGAGCTGCAGACCCGTCGTCGGCCCATTCCTCTTCAGCCTCCCTTCAGGAACGCCCCTGTCGCAGGAAGAGCGGCTGGGGAAGGCCCCGCTGCATTAGCTAGGCCTGGCTGCCTTTTGAAGTCAGCCTTTAAAGTTTGTTGGTCAGCAGGTAGCCTCAGTCTTCAGACCGAACCTGTTGCCGGAGACAGAGGTTTCCTGTTCCATGAACTGGTGTAGTGAGAGTCTGTTCAGATTTGGCGCCGGTGTCAAGTCTTCCATCCCGGGAAGACAAAAGGAGATCCATAGGAATGCATAGAAAAAGTTTTCTGGGTGGACTAGAAGCTCTGAACTGCAAGCATGCTTACGAGTAAATGCTTACTGGCGTGCGTGTTTGCGGGGAAAGGTCTGCGCGTGGACTCCCCGTGGTAATACCACCTCACATTGTAGACTACTCCAAGGACTGAGTTGTTCTCTTAGTTGTATTAATAGCGGTTGCTACGGGAGCTCTTCTGTCGGATTGCCTGGGATCCAGTCCCACCGCAGCCACTCACTAGCCGTGTAACCCCTGGGCACATTTCATACCCAAGCCTCAGTTTCCCAACGATGAAATAGATCAGCACCTATTAGTACCTCAGGGTTGTTGTGAGGGTTAAATGAGATGACGTATGTAAAATACAATTAATACAATGCCTAGTATGCAGGAAACACTCAGTAGATGTTGGCCCTTCGGTAGGAAACAGAGTGGTTCATGGAATTCACAGGCAAAATATACTTTTGTTTTGTTTTGTTTTTGAGACAGGGTCTGGCTCAGTCACCTAGGCTGCAGTGTAGGGGAGTGATCACGGCTCCCTGCAGCCTCAGCCTCCCAGGCTCAAGTGATCCACCCACCTCATCCTCGCATCTTAGCCTCTCGAGTAGCTGGGACCACAGGTGCCCACCACCACGCCCGGCTAATTTTTATATTTTTTTTGTAGAGACGAGGTCTCTCCGCGTTGCCCAGCCTTGTCTCGACCTTCTGGACTCAAGCGATCTATCCTCCTCAGCCTACTAAAGGGTTGGGATTACAGGTGTGAGCTACCACATCTGGCCAAAAATGCTTATTGATCCAGATTTTGTTTTGTTTTGTTTTCAAAACAGGCTGTTGCTCTGTTTCCCAGGCTGAGTGCAGTGGCGTGATCTCGGCTCACTGCAGCCTCTACCTCCTGGGTTCAGGCGATCCTCCCACCACAGCCTCCTGAGTAGCTGGGACTACACGTGCGGTCCACCACGCTGGGCTAATTTGTGTATTTTTCGTAGAGACAGGGTTTCTTTTTTTTTTTTTTTTTTGAGACGGAGTCTTGCTCTGTCACCCAGGCTGGAGTGCAGTGGCCGGATCTCAGTTCACTGCAAGCTCCGCCTCCCGGGTTTACGCCATTCTCCTGCCTCAGCCTCCCGAGTAGCTGGGACTACAGGCGCCCGCCACCTAGCCCGGCTAAGTTTTTTTTTTTTTGTATTTTTAGTAGAGACGGGGTTTCACTGTGTTAGCCAGGATGGTCTCGATCTCCCGACCTCGTGATCCGCCCGTCTCGGCCTCCCAAAGTGCTGGGATTACAGGCTTGAGCCACCGCGCCCGGCGAGACAGGGTTTCTTCATGTTGCCCAGGCTGGTCTCTGGAACTCCTGAGCTCAAGTGATTCACCTGCCTCGGCCTTGTAAAGTATTGGGATTACAGGCTTGAGCCCCCGTGACCAGCACTGTTGATCTAAATGGAGTGAAATTTTGCTGACTGAATTTGAATTAGAGGCAAGTAGTATACTCTGATTTTGCAATGGAGAGTGCAGGTGAGATGGGGTGTTGCCTTTGGAAAGGGGGAGGGGTGAGAGTTACTGACTAATGGTTAGAAATGCTTTATGGGGGTGATGAAATAACACAGCTCTTTAGGCATTTCAGGTTTACCTGGGAAATTGTTAAGGAAAAAAAGCAGGGGTTGTCGGGGGGACATGTGACATTTACTCACTGATGGAAGCTGGGCTCTGACTCATCCAGTACAGATCAGCACAATCACGGGAGTCACCAGAAGTGACCTCTTGAAATGAGCAGGTGGTCTTGTGTGGACCTGCCCTAAGTAAACGTTTTGAATTTACCATCACCTGAAAAGACTGTTTTGTCTATGTGTTTTATATGTTTGTTTTAAATGCTTCATGTTTTAAAAAGTCCTTAAACTATCAAAATGGATAAAAGTTTTTTTTTTTTTTTTTTTTGAGACAGTCTCTCTGTGTTGCCCAGGCTGGAGTGGAGTGCAGTGGCACAATCTTGGCTCACTGCAACCTCCGCCTCATGGGTTCAAACGATTCTCATGCCTCAGCCTTCCAAGTAGCTGGGATTACAGGTACTCACCACCACTCCTGGCTACTTTTTGCATTTTTAGTAGAGATGAGTTTCACCATGTTAGCCAGGCTGGTCTTGAACTGCTGACCTCGCGTGATCTGCCCGCTTTGGCCTCCCAGCGTGCTGGGATTGCAGGCATGAGCCACCGCGCCTGGCCAAAATGGATAAAAGTTTAAATGTGAATACCATTTGGATGTATCCTTGCCACTGGTCTGTACTTGAAATGACCCAGGAAACAATGTACACTTTCCTTAGTGACTATTTTAAACGGACACATGAGAAACGATGTGTGGCATCTGGGGAAGGAGCAAATTTCTGCAGCTTTTTTGGTGAAGATGGAGACATTTAAGAATATTGTGGGCCGGGCGTGGTGGCTCAAGCCTGTAATCCCAGCACTTTGGGAGGCCGAGACGGGCGGATCACGAGGTCAGGAGATCGAGACCATCCTGGCTAACACGGTGAAACCCCGTCTCTACTAAAAAATACCAAAAAAAGGCCGGGCGCGCTCAAGCCTGTAATCCAGCACTTTGGAGGCCGAGACGGGCGGATCACGAGGTCAGGAGATCGAGACCATCCTGGCTAACACGGTGAAACCCCGTCTCTACTAAAAAATACCAAAAAAAAAAAAAAAAAACCTAGCTGGGCGAGGTGGCGGGCGCCTGTAGTCCCAGCTACTCGGGAGGCTGAGGCAGGAGAATGGCATAAACCCAGGAGGCGGAGCTTGCAGTGAGCTGAGATCCGGCCACTGCACTCCAGCCCGGGCGACAGAGCGAGACTCCGTCTCAAAAAAAAAAAAAAAAAGAGAATATTGTGGTGGCTCACACCAGCAATCCCAGCACTTTGGAAGGATGACTTGAGGCCAGGAGTTTGAGACTAGCTTGGACAACATAGTGAGAACCCATCTCTACAAAAAATAAAAAAAGTAGCCAGGCATGGTGATGCATACCTGTAGTCCCCAGCTACTCAGGAGGCTGAGGTGGGAGGATTGTTTGAGCCCAGGAGTTCCAGGCTGCGGTGAGCTGTGATCCTGCCACTATACTCCAGCCTGGGTGACAGAGTGAGACCCTGTCTCAAAAAACAAACAAAAAGTGCCCGAATTTTAGTACTTGTGTTGATGTAATAATTTTAAATCTACTTTCCAAATCATTGCTTCTCCAATTTTAAAATTTGACATGAATTGAAATTTTTTTCTTTTAAGTAATTGAATCAGATATTTACATGAGTTGCTGAAATCTCAGCTGGTCTGTACAATGGGGTTATTAATATCCATTTGCAGAGTAAGCAGGTTTAGTATATGATATGTTTAATAAGCAGTAGCTGGTATTATCTGCAGATGAATGTAGTAGCAGAATACTATAATAATTGAAAAACAACTATTTGCTGATGAAGAGCTGACGTTTATTACATTGTCTAAAATTACATTAGTCAGGATTTGAATGTGGTTTTTGTCTGATGTTTTTCTCCAACAGTGCACCAGGCATACGGGGCTATCCATTAAGATGGAAAGAATACTGTAACATACAATCCAAAAGGGGATAACGTTTATATTTGTTTCAGATATAGTATGTCCTTATAATACTGGACATTATGTGCTTAATTGAGAAATGGAAGTTAAGCATTAAATAGGAGAATATTGTAGATAATTTCAACTAACAATATCATGTTTTAATGTTTTCAAATGTTTTATATTTTTGTTTCATCTTCTCAACATCCCAGAGTGTTGGTTATTGCCATTTTACAGATGTGGAAGTTAAATTACTCTTCAAAGCCATGTTAGTAATAATGAAACAAATGAATTCTGTTTCTATAGCATACTCTCTTTTTTTCTTTTTTACTTATTTGGGCTCATACTGTTATAAAGTTTGGTAACCTACTTTAATTTTTGAAAAATGTAGTTATATTAGTATTACTGTGGCATTGAAAGTTCTTTGAAAATTTGATTTGTAATGGCTTTATAATATTTTCTTATGACCATTTAAAAACTATTATTGAGCATCAGATTTTTCTGATTTGCTACATAAAATAGTGGGAAAATATCCACATACAGAAAATCTTTTTCTCTTAATTACTCCTTAGGATTGATACTCATGTGTGAGAAATTTCTGAAAGGTCCCAATTTAATTTTTACCGTTAGGACATGAAAGTACTTCTCGTCGTCCTTTTTATCATTGAATATTATGATTTAAACAGTCCTTTTGTTGGCTGGGCATGGTGGCTTATGCCTGTAATCCCAGTGCTTTGAGAGGTGAATGCAGCTGGATTGATTGCTTGAGCTCAGGAGTTTGAGGCCAGCCTGGGCATTGGCGAAACCCCAACTTTACAAAGAACAAAATATGGCTGTAGTCTGGGAGGCGGAGGTGGGAGGATCACCCGAGCCCAGGAAGTCGAGGTTACACTTGCCTTGCACTCCAGGCAGTAAAGTAAGACCCTGTCTCAAAAAAAGAGAAAAAAAAATTTTTTTTGGTCAATTTGGTGAAAAATGGTATCCCAGCTTTATAAAGAAGTTGAAGTGTTACATACAGTAACAAAATGCACAGATCTTAATCATCAGATGTGATGAATTTTCACAATTGTATACATACCAATAACCACCATTCACAGGAAGAATGTAGAACCCAGGAAGTTTTCTATCCCCTTTACCCAAACGACTGATTTCTTACTGTCACCGTAGATGAGTTTTCCCTGCTCTTGGACTTTGTGTGAGTGGAATCATACAGTTCTTTGTCTGTGGCATCTTTTGCTCACATATTTTTGAGCTTCATCCATGTCATTGCCTGTGTTTGTAGTTGGTTCCTTTTTACTGCTAAGTTACATTCCGTTGTATGAATGTCTATCACTTTCCCCCATTGGCGGGCATCTGGCTAATTTCCAGTTTTGAGTTACTATGTATAGGGCTGCCATGAGCATTCTTGCTTGAGGCCTCTGAACCTCTGGTTTGTTCTCGCCATCCTTAGGCAATGGAGCCTCCCTGGATCCTCTTCATTGCTGGAGGCTATGGTGGGCAGAGGCTTCTGAGGGAGGGTTTTGAGGGGTCAGGCCTGTGTTCTAGTTTTAGGGGCCAGAATTCAGTTCCAGGGCCCCAGACAACTGCAAGGAAAAGACTGAAAAATGTAATCTAGCTGAATGCACAGGAGGAAAATGAAACAGTGCTTGATTGAAACAGCACAGTCTTTGCCTTGGACCTGAGGCGCCACCTACTTAACCATTGAAGTTGCTGAGTTGTGCTGGATGCAAATTAACAGCCAGTGATTGGGGGCTCCTCGAATGTGTCCTTCCCTGCCTTAGGTGGGTCTTTATTTGGAGCATCCTGCTTTCCTTTTGTGTGCCTGTGGACACTCTCCCTTCCTCAGTCCTGCCAGTGGTCTCTGCTCTCTATTTTCCTACGTTTCGACAAATGACCTTGCTTCCCACCTGAGAGAAAACAGGACTTCAGGTAGTATCTCCCCGAGCCCTCCTTCCACTCTTACCTATCCCAACACTTACCATTTATTTGTAGCCTTACCCATTCTTAATTCCTTGGCTCCTGACTCAGAGGAGACTGCCTCCTTCTTCTGCAAGGTAAGCTCTTCTCTGCTCTGGATTTCCCCTCTCCTGCCTCTTCTGAGTCCTTGCATCCTCAGCTATCTTGTGTCTACAGCCTTTCCCTCTCCATTTGCACTATCCCCTGGTAAAGTAAACATATGAAGATTTTCTTGTATTAAAAAAGCCCATTCCTTGATTTTGTCTTTCCCTCTGCCTGTACAGATCTCTTAGAGTATATCTCTCCTTCCTCATCTTCACTTCAGTCCTCAGTGGACTGCAGTCTGACCTGTGCTTCTGCTATTCTATTGAAGTTACTCCATTAGTTGCCCTTTCCCACTGCATTGGATGATTGTCACTCCCTCTTGACACTCTTCTGTTGACTTCTTTGAGACCCTTTAGTCTTCCAGTACCGCCTAGGATCCCTCCTCTGCTTCACTACATGAATTCCTTCTCCTCCATCTGTCCTAACTGAATGTTGCTAAGCCCCCTGAGGCACGGACCTCGGGTCTCTTCTGTGTCCCTCTGTATCCCTTTGCAGTTTGGTGCCGGCACTGTTCCTTTCTTGATTCCCAAATCTGTATATCAAGTGCAGACTTCTTCCCTGAGGTCTAGACATCATACTAACAGCCCATTAAACTTCCTTTCCTCAGGTTGGCAGCTTCTGCACTATGATTTGAGGCATAGTTTCGCCACTAGCCGTCAGTCTCTAAGCCAGAACTTGGAGTCAGCTGTAGACCGCCTCATCTGTCACCAAATCCTGTCCTTTCTACCTTCGAAATCCTCATGCTGCTCTTTGCTTCTGCTTTCCTGACACTTTATTGTAGGCTTATTCTCTTCTCACTGGTGTTATTTGATCGGTTTTTACAGTTTGTTATTCCTTTCTTTACCCATAGGTTAGTTGTCCTTGTTTCTTTTTGCCATAGAACATATTTCTGTTCGTGATTTTTCAGTTTTTTTTTGGGAGGTGGTATTATATTTGAACAGAATTCCATAAAACTGAAGGATTTTTCAGTTGGATATGACCATAGATATCTTTGCCAAGATAATTTTGTATGAAAGCTAACTAAAGTAGATACTGAGTTATTAATCTATTCTGTGTGTTCATACTATAAATGTTTAGAAATTTATTATTATTATTTTTTTAATGGGTCTTACTCTGTTGCCCACAGTGGAGTGTAGTGGTACGATCATAGCTCATTGCAACCTCGACCCCCTGGGCTCAAGTGATCCTTCCACCTTAGCCTCCCAAAATGCTGATTACAGGCATGAGCCACCTTGCCTGGCCTATAAAAATCTCTTTTGGTTTTTTTTTTTTTTTTGAGACAGAGTCTTGCTCTGCTGCCCAGGCTGCAGTGCAGTGGTGTGATCTCAGCTCACTGCAACCTCTTGCCTCCTGGGTTCAAACAGTTCTTCTGCCTCAGCCTTCTGAGTAGCTGGGATTACAGGCATACATCAACACACCTGGCTAATTTTTTGTATTTTTAGTAGAGATGGAGTTTCACCATGTTAGCCAGGCTGGGCTTGAACTGCTGACCTCAAGTGATCTGCCTGCCTCGGCTTCCCAAAGTGCTGGGATTACAGGTGTGAGCCACTGTGCCAGGCCTGGAAAAATCTTTTGTAGCATAATATTAAAAAGTATAAAAGAATGTCTTTGTGAAAGCAGTTCTATTCTTTTCCTCGTTTTCCACTGGCATGCCTTCATTTTCAACACATACTATTGTTTCTATGGCCACGGTTATGTCTCTTCATCACTATACCACATTTAAAAAGTAAATAATGATATTACTAGTAATAATGTGTCTACAACCATTTTTCACAAACATTGTGCCATTAATATGGAAATTCAGTTTCCACTTTGCCCAGGGGTCTGAAAATATAGTTGATTTACCTGGCTTTTTTTTTAGTTTTGTTTACTTTAAGTTCTGGGATACATGTGCAGAACATGCAGGTTTCTTACATAGGTATACATGTTCCATGGTGGTTTGCTGCACCTGTCAACCCATCATCTAGGTTTTAAACCCTGTATACATTAGGTGTTTGTCCTAATGCTTTCCCTCCCCTTGGCCCCTACCCCCTGACAGGCCCCGGTGTGTGATATTCCCCTCCCTGTATCCATATGGTCTCATTGTTCACCTCTCACTTATGAGTGAGAACATGCAGCATTTGTTTTTCTATTCCTGTGTTAGTTTGCTGAGAATGGTGGCTTCCAGCTTCATCCATGTCCCTGCAAAGGACATGAACTCATTCCTTTTTATGACTGCATAGTATTCCATAGTATATATGTGCCACATTTTCTTTATCCAGTCTATCATTGATGGGCATTTGGGTTGGTTCCAAGTCTTTGATATTGTAAATAGTGCTGCAATAAACATGTGTGCATGTGTCTTTATAGTAGAATGATTTATAATCTTTAGGGTATATACCCAGTAATGGGATTGCTGGGTCAGATGGTATTTCTGGTTCTAGATCCTTGAGGAGTTGCTACACTGTCTTCCGCAATGGTTGAACTGATTTACACTCCCAACAACAGTGATTTACATGACTTTTAATTGATGTGGATGAATATTCAGATCTACTTCAAATGGGCTTGACTCAAAATGCCATTGACTTGAAAATTTATCTGAAAGTCTCAAGACTTTGCAGAGTGCATTTACATTCCAGTGTTGTATACAACAAAATTCTAGCAATATGAAAAACTTCAGGCAGTTCTTTTAAAGTTTTTTTTTCTTTTTGGTAATTTAATCTATATCAGTATTTGTTTATTTCCAAAATTGTTATAATTTTAAATCAATGCATTTAATTGATTTACAGATCCCTCCTTGTGGTCCATTTCTGGGCACCATGGGCTCCACAGTGTGCACAGATGAACGAAGTTATGGCAGAGTTAGCTAAAGAACACCCTCAAGTTTCATTTGTGAAGGTATTTATATTTCAATGTCATGTCTTTTATGAATTTAATTCTGATTTATGGGTTAGATTAGGGCTGGGCGTGGTAGCTCACGCCTGTAATCCCAGCACTTTAGGAGGCTGAGGCGGGAATATCATCTGAGTTCAGGAGTTTAAGATCAGCCCAGCCAACATAGTGAAACCCTGTCTCTACTAAAATACAGAAATTAGCTGGGCGTGGTGGGGGGACGGTGCCTGTAATCCCAGCTGTGTGGGAGGCTAAGGCAGGAGACCCTTTTGAACCTGGGAGGCAGAGGTTGCAGTGAGCGAAATTGCGCCACTGCACTCTAGCCTGGGTGACAGAGCGAGATACTGTCTCTGAAAAATACATAAATAAAATAAAAGATCAGATTTTATTAACTAATATAAAGATGGAGTGGTGTGGAATTCCAAATATCTGTGATTGATGTGGGATCTGTTATTTTTGCACATTATTCTTAAAAATCTTAAAATAATTTTGCTTTTCTTTTTTTTTTTTTGAGACGAGTCTTGCTCTGTCGCCCAGGCTGGGGTGCAGTGGTGCGATCTCGGCTTACTGCATCCTCTGCCTCCCTGGTTTAAGCGATTCTCCTGCCTCAGCCTCCTGAGTAGCTGGGATTGCAGGCACCCACCACCACGCCCAGCTAATCTTTTGTATTTTTGGTGGACGGGGTTTCACCATCTTAGCCAGGATGGTCTCGGTCTCCTGACCTCGTGATCTGCCTGCCTCGGCCTCCCAAAGTACTATGATTACAGGCGTGAGCCACCACGCCCGGCCAAATGTACACTTTTCCTCGATCATCCTCGGGTGTGGGGCATGACTATCAAACATCAAGGTGGCTGTGGGCTGGAGTTTTGGAGAGCACAGGCAGACGAGTTAGTTCCCTGTGGGTAACTGTGGTTTTAAGACATTTAAAATAGTAACACAAATTATGTCATTGAAAAGCTAGGTGTGCTGTGGAAAATAGTTCAGGAAGGGTATGTAAATGCTGCTAGGGACCAGGGAACAGGAAGTTGCTATCTTGGTTTAGATGAAGGCAGACAGACCTATGGGAGAAGGTGAAAGTCTTTCTAACCTGTTCAGAATGCGGAGGAAGAGGGAAGCCAGTCAGTCTCTTCCTTGCCTCTTTTGTTTTTCACTCTGGTTTGTGTGCTCCTCCATTCCTGCTTCTGTCTTGAGTGGATAAGTACTAGGAAAGCCATAGTTGTGACTGTGGATTAACTCAATTGGTTTAGCACATTGAAAATACTATTTAGGACTTAGTACTGGTTTAGGCAACAGGGCCAAAATATGTGTTGAAAGTCTTAGAAATGAATTATCAGGAGGGAGGTGCACCTTGTATTCCAAAGCCTGAATCCTTAAGATTTAAAAAAAAAAAAAAGAAAAACCAAAGTCTTATTTTTTAAAACAAGAATCTGTGAGTTCAGAGTACATGTTATCCAGTATACTCATATATGGGGTTAAAAATAACATCAACTGTATTGGTCTTATGTCTCTTTTTATGTAAACTGAAAACAGAATTCTGACAGGATAATTCATTCGTGTAGTAGGTGATAAAATTTTCAGGCAGCTTCTGTAGCAATAAGTTTGCTTTGAATAGGTATTGTACTTAGATGGCTCAAAATACTGAACAGTATAGAAAGGTGTCCATTGAGAAGGCTCACCCCATTCCTCCGTTGTCACCCTTGTGTCCCACCACATAAGTAACTGCTTGTATTAATTTTGTATGAATCCTTCTAGTGTTTCTTTATGCAAATAGGGCAGATGTGAATATAGTGATTAGGTTTTTAAAATTTAAGGGCTTATTTAAAATTCCAATGAAATGTATAATGTAATTTTAGAGTGTAACCCTAAAATGTCCAATATAAATAATAGAAGGAGGGCATTAAAACTGCATGTTTGGTCAGTGATAAAAGATAATGATTACAAGTGAAATGAATGATTAAACATTTCAATCATAAGATTAATCGAGATGATGGTAATTGTTCTAAGTCTGCTTTTATGTGTATCATGTTACTGGTTTAGGTAACACATTGTTCTTAGTTGCTATCTGAATGATTTATTTAAAGTGACTATAGAATTACTTCTCACATTGGTACCAGACTTGGCAGTGAGATTTTAAGTTGTTCAAGTGCTTAAGTATCTCTGTGAGCCAAAGGTTGGAGGAGCCCTCAGCGATTTTGGGTTGTGGGGGATACCTGAGCCTGACTGCACCTGCCACTCATGAGGATGATGACAGCGTAAGATTGGTCATTCTTCCAGGAGTCATCACTTTCTGGAAATTCACTCTATAACATAGTTTTCTTTCATTAGCCATCATTAGGGGCAAAGGTAATTTGCATGGCATTTATAAGGTAGCTAATTAAAAGGTACTTGCTGAACAATAGTAAGTAAAAGAGAAGTAGAATGAGATATCATTGGTCTTTCCCAGTAAGAGAGGCATGCAGGCTGGGCGCCGTGGCTCACACCTGTAATCCCAACACCTCTTGAGGCTGAGGTGGGAGTATTGCTTGTGGCCAGGAGTTCAAAACCAGCCTGATGCACATAGCAAAACCATCTGTACACAAGAAAAACTAAAAAAGTTAGCTGTGCATGTTGGCGTGCACCTTTAGTCCCAGTTACTCGGGAGGATAAGGCAGAGGATTCCTTGAGCCCAGGAGGTCTCAAGGCAGTCACACCACTGGGTGACATAGGGTGAGACCGTGTCTGAAAAAAAAGGAATGTAGTTCATTTTAAAACTGCTTTCTTTTTGTTAATGAGAGTTTTTGGAAAGTTCTAGAGTATGAACTAATGTTCTTCTACTTTATCTTGTGTCTATTTAGTTTCTTAGTCTTTTTTTTGGAGACAAGGTCTCACTGTTATTACCCAGGCTGTAGTTCAGTGGTGTAATCTTGGCTCACTGCAGCCTCTACCTTCCAGGCTCAAGCAATTTCCCCACCTTAGCCTCCCGAATAGCTGGTACTGCAGGTGTGCACCACCCTGCCCAGCTAATTTTTGTATTTTGCTTGTTGCTTAGGCTGGTCTTGAACTCATGGACTCAAGCAGACTGCCTACCTTGGCCTCCCAAAGTGCTCGTAGTACAGATGTGAGCCACTTTGCCCTTCAGTCTTTTTTTTTTTTTTAATGATAAAATAATTTGGCATTTTTGGCTTGTAAAGGGATCAGTTCTTTTTTGTGACTGGGATTTATAAAATCATTTAAATAAGTGATCATAAACTAGATATTTTTAAACAGGTTGTAAACTTTTGTGACTATCAATAATTTCTTATTTTGTAGGAGCTGGTAAAATAGAGTTAGAAGAGTTAGTCACCCATTTTTGGTCAGAGTAGTTAGTTTGTGCTCATTGGAATTGAATGCTGAAGGACAAGGTTTTCATATTTATTGCGTCCGAATCCCTCATTCTCTATATTGATGGTATGGTCGTAAAGTGTATTTGGGGTGGGGCACAGTGGTTCACACGTGTAATCCCGGCACTTTTGGAGGCTTCTTTGGGAGGCGTGAGTGGGAGGATTGTTCAAGGACATGAGTTTGAGACCAGCCTGACAACATAGCGAGACTTCATCTCTGCAGAATAAAAATTTAAAAAACTAACTGTGTACACCTGTTGCCCCAGCTACTTGGGAGGCTGGGGTGGGAGGATTGCTTAAGACTAGGAGTTAGAGGCTGCAGTGAGCTCTGATTGTGCCACTACACTCCAGCTTGGGTGACAGAGTGAGACCTTGTCTCTTAAAAAAAAAATTAAAAGTGCATCTGTACTCCTTTTGGGTGCTGTGTTTATAATGGGTGGTGTTCCATTTACCTGAGTCACTGACATGTATAGTGGGCTCTTCTGGGCTCCATCCTGAGGCTGTCACACCTCCAGTGGCACGGAAGAGATGATGTGGTATTTCTATCACTAAAAGGAGTTCAAGATCAGCTTGAGTAACATGGTGAAACCCTGTCTCTACTAAAAATACAAAATTTAGCTAGGTGTGGTGGCGTATGCCTGTCATCCCAGCTACTCAGGAGGCCGAGGCAGGAGAATCACTTCAACCCAGCAGGCGGAGCTTGCAGTGACCGGAGATCGCGCTACTGCACTACAGCCTGTGCGACAGAGCGAGACTTTGTCTCGAAACAGAACAAAAAAGTCTTAGAGAAACCTTACGTTTATTCAGAATAAAATGAAATACTTAAAATATCTTAATGCCTTTTATTTTCAAATTACATTGTCAGTACCTTCTCTCATACTGATCCTTGTTTGTGTCTTTACCTAAAATAGGAGTACACCTTTGTCATTTAATTAATTGTTTGATAGAATCTTCCAAAATATGGTATCTGGCAGAGGGGATGGGAGAGAGGAAGAATAGCACAAGGCTTTGTTGGGTGCCTGCTGCTGGTTGTATTTGAGATCCAAATCAGCTATTTTGTATGAAAGTTTAGCTATTTTTTCCTGTAGCTTTTTGTTTGTCTCTGAACTTAGTCTGTGCCATGGGTTGCTTGGATCAGGAAATGCCCTACGTTTTTGTCTGTATTGTCATTCGATTCCTCTTTTCATTGTCTCCTTGACTAGATGTGAGATACTTGAGATGGGGACCTTTACCTTACCAGGTTTTCATTAGTAAAAAAATAATAATAATAATAGGGCTGGGCATGGTGGCTCACGCCTTTAATCCCAGCACTTTGGGAGGCTGAGGCGGGCGGATCACGAGGTCAGGAGATTGGGACCATCCTGGCTAACATGGTGAAACCCCGTGTCTACTAAAAATACAAAAAAAAACCCAGCCAGGTGTGGTGGCACGTGCCTCTATTCCCAGCTACTCGGGAGGCTGAGGCAGGAGAATCGCTTGAACCCGGGAGGCAGAGGTTGCAGTGAGCTGAGACCACATCACTGCATTCCAGCCTGGGCAACAGAGCAAGACTCCGTCTCAAAAAAAAAGAAAAAAATGACTTTCCTTTGTTGGGGTGGCTCCTGCTTTCCATGCAAGCCTTCCTGATCCCACTTCCAGCTTAGTACT